TAACGCACAGAACACTGCAGAATGCAACAACAAAAACCCGTCACTATATACAACAACAAGAAAATTACGTTGCCATAAAAGACTCACCAAAATAAGGAAAACCTCTACAAGACTTACAATAACAAATAGATACGTCTTGAAACGCCGTTATGCGTTACAGAAATTTAAACTATTCCAAACAACTTAGAACGCATGTCGAATTACATTTGTAAAAAATATTCAAAACAATTTTTTCCGATTTAGCACATAAAATTATTCGACGAATGACGGAAATAGGTTGTAATATAGAGCGCAATAATGCATGACGTAATGAAGCTGTTCATACATCCTTTTAAAAACGAATGTAGAGTCAGGTCACTCTGTGGCGATGTACCCGCCTCAAGGTTAGGCTTCTCGCAAACGTGTTACTAAAGAATTTTTAACGACCAGCGGAAAAGGGCAGGTTGCCCCCCTTGCGAAAACGTATTGTGAACCTCTCGCCAATCAGAGCAACTCGCGTGCATCCAGTCCACCGTGTCAAGATTCCACCAATGACGACCTACCTAGAAATCGCAAACAACTGGCCAGGAAGTTCCGAGGATCTCACCCCAAAATGGCGAGACCCCGGCAACACAAAAGCAAGTACCAAAACTCGCCCCCCTCTTCTCCGATGAAGCAGGCGCATGTTGCTCCTCCTGCTCAGTAGCCAGAGTGTGTCGATGATGCAGCGGCGGCCCAGCCGTAGGGCACGCGCACAGGTGTGCGTCACGCACCGGATGAGTCGAGGGGTGACTCTTGTCAGCCTCTGAAGCGGCTTTAAAGTCATGGCTCGTGGGAAGACGCTCATTAGCAGGCGCCTCAAAGGTATGACTCATGGAAAGACCCCGGTTGGGAGGCGCCTCAAAGTTATGACTCATGGGAAGACGCCGCTGGTCAGCAGTAGGCGCCTCAAAGGCATGGCCCTCAGTCATGGGATGGCAATGAAGCAGCGGACCATGGGGCGAGAGAGACCTGAGTGGGGCGTCACCCATCGCGGTTGATTCTCTTCCAGTGGGTGTCAAGCGAGCTGAGGTATCTGCGTGTGCCGGTGTTTAGAAGGATCATGCGGGTGGCAGCGTTACTTCTGCTTGGGAAGAGCTCATTGCACCGCTAGTAGTGCTGCAGTTGCTGCTGCTGCCACGCGTGCTGCCGTTGTCTTTGCTCTTGCTGTTGCTGTTGCTGTTGCTGGTAGCAGAGCAGGCGTTCCAAGCCTTGTTTCGCGTTTGAATATCACTGCTGCTGCTGCCGCCACTGCGTCTGCCACCACTGCTGCTGCTCCGACGCTGCTGCTGCTGCGGGCGCCGGCGCTGCTGTTGTGACGATGCTGATGTACTCAACCTCGTGCTCAGCAAGCGAGAGAAGGACTCTTGTTCCCCTCACTCTTCTCCTGCTCACTCCCTGGTCTCTCCTAGTAGTATGGCTGCTCACACTCGTTCTCCTCAACGCTGCTCTCTTCTGCTCGCGCTTATGCCGCTCATGTCACGTCTGCTCACTAGTGTGTTGCTTTCTCGTTTCTCCTCGCCTTTATGCCTTGTTCCGCTCACTCCCATACGATCACTAGTACTGATAGGAGCGCCTGCTCCAATGCAGCTGCAAACTAGACCTGGCGTCCGATTATCTCCCCAGCATTAGTGTCTTGGAAATGAAATTCCCACTGGAGCGAAACAACGCACGATCTGGCGTCTAGCGGAATGACAGAGGCGCCAAAATCTGCCACCCGATTTTGTCAGGGGGCTCTGTATGCAGTACACTTCAAAGCCGGCCGTTACAGCAGCAAAATTGCGGGGCAGAAGAGTGAGGACTGGAACATGTGGTCCCTGATAGAATTGCCAGCTAATGCGATACACTCTGGCGTTGCCAGTGGCCCTGACGCACTCCATGCCAGCAGAGCCAGAAGAGGCGGTGTAACATGACAGGATTCGCCATGCATGCGCCTTTAGACATGCATGGGAATTCACGAATGGGATAGCTAGGCATACATGATGAATCCTCATGTTACAGGTGGAGAGAGCGACGTGGGACCAGGCCTGTCGATTCAAGGGCAAATGCCCTTAATGCCCTGAACATTCCGGGTAAGCCGTCCGTCAGGGTCCGACTTTTACGGGTTTGATTCGGGACTAGCCCGTGATGGTTAAGGGTTTCGTTCGGCCCTTTCCCGGATTTGTTCAAGGCGGAGTTGAGGCCTTTCCCTGATTTTCCGTAACAGAGTCTTGACATACCCTGACCTAGGCATACCTTCCTTGCCCACCCACACCACCCCACCTTCCCCTTCGGCTAGTATAATTTGGTGAAGTCCTCCAAACCAGAGACATCCCTCCCACATCCCAACCGAACTCAGAAAAATCCTCGAAGTCCCTCACACCCAGAGACATTCCTCCCACACCCCTCGCACCCCCAGAGAATCCCCCCAGCCAGAAAATTCCTCTCTAAGTCCTCCAAACCAGAGACATTCTTCCCACACCCCAACCAAACATAGGAAAATTGATGAAGTTCCCCACACCCACAGACATTCCTCCCAGCCCCTCTCACACACTCCTGCATCCCAGAAACTGGCTCAGTCCGTGACACCTATGAATAACTGAGAAATGTGCACTACTAACACATTTGGCACACAAATTCTCCTGCTAAAATAGGCTGGCCTCCCCACTCACTCAGCATCTTGCCTAACCTGATGTACGATTACGAAGTTTTTTTCTTTCTTTCCAGCAAAGTACAGACTCCGGCGCAGCCCTGATTTTAAGTTCTGGTTTGGACCCCAGCCCGTACGCTTCAGGGCTCAGTTTGGTCGCTTTCCGGAAATTTCAGGGCTGTTTTCGGGGGACCTCAGCCACTCAAGTATTGGTCCCAAACCAATCGACAGCCCTGCGTGGGACAGACTCCACACTGGAGATCAGGTGCATGACATGTGAAGACAGGTAGCACGTACGGCAGGCGCTTGTCCCCATCGCTGATCCGCGCAGTGCCAGTGATGCTTGGCTCGGCGCGCTTGCTGCACTCTGGCGCCGTACACCTGAAGCCCGACACTGGAAACACACTGTTGCGCGTCGCGCTGGATGTATTTGGGCGGGAATATCCATCAGGGAGGGGCCGATTGGGACTGACTCGAGCACGGCATTGTGTGGACACCAAGTGTACACGATGCACTAAAAGTGCAGTGTGAATGGCCGCCGGGTGGCTGGTCAGACAACTTTGTTGAACTGACTCCGTGCGTCCCGCTGATTGGCAGTCGACGGCTCGCGTGGATAACGATAATCTACTGTACTAGGACCGATGGGTCATAAAGGGTGGCTGTGTGAAAGCTGCCGAACTGGAATCGCCTTGCTTTCTCAGATCCTGAGGGCAAGGACGGAAGGACATCGTGCCACGCGCACTAGGACCACCAAACGATTGGCGGGCTCTCTCTTTGATCTCGTCACAGTGTCTGGTGGGGTACTGTACACCTGAAGCCCGACATTGGTACACACTGTTTGCTAGTCGCGCTGGATGTATTTGGACTGGAATGACCATCAGCGAGGGGCCGATTGGGACTGACTTGAGCACAGAATTTTGTGGACACCAGGCGTAGTTCGAGATCTGCGAGCGAACGTACAGCGACTGTAATGTATCTCAAAACCATGGACCAAATTTAATGGGATTGGGACTTGGTTTTGACAGGGACGACCAAAGCTAGGGCATGGTAGGACTGCTGGGTGGCACACCTTACTAACATAGGCGGCGCTAGTGGTGAGGCATGATGGGTTATGAGCAGAGCTCTCGCTAGGTTTTTTGCCACCTCGGACGATCCGTGCTCCTCGAAAAATCACCCTGTAATATCTGACTTCGTCAAGATTCTTCAGGGTCCGCGTTCGATAAGGCCTGGGGGGGTGAGGGCAGTTTTTGTGGGACGAGACAGCGGGGTTGCGGGTGGGAGTGCTTCGGTTTGGGAAATCCGCCACCACAGACGCACCTGTGAAGGAGCTAAATTTGGGCCAGGAGGGGCTGGGCAAAAGGGGGTGGAGAGAAGAGCTGGGGCAATTTTGAGTGGCTGCTCATTTTAAAACCTGCTGCTAAGTGACCATTGATCTGGTAGTACGTGCGGAAGTGCACGTGAAGTTCTAGCTCCTTCGCAGCTTAGGGCGTGGTTCATTTCCCAAGAAACATTTGTACAAATTATTACCGCACTGAATTGTTTGAAAAACGAAGTAACACACAGAAACGTACAGAAACCCTGGCAATATTCGAATTTAAGCAATTCGAATCCCTGCCGATACACAACTTCCCCAAGTTTGAGGGAGGGAAGGGTGGGGCTAATGGAGAAAGAGAGGACTGGGGACCTTGAGATATTCCTACACCCCCTGGATGCTACCCGAGTGTCCGGGCCCTCCCAAAACCCCCATGGACTCTACGGGTGACTACAGAAATCTCCCTGAGTTCTTCAGGGCTGGCCTGGGAAAAGCTCTGTAAAACAGAGGTCGGGAAAAACCTTGGATTTTCCGTCAAGTCAGGATAATTGCCTTCTCCGAAGTTCCTTGAAGACACGACACAACACGAGGTGCAGATATACTTAGCATCCGTTTTAGTGTCTTAGCGTTTTAGAGTGCTATAAACTGAAACGCGCAGACCTGTCGCAGACCTTCGCCATGCGCAAATGGGACAACTGGTGGGCAGCATTTGCAACATCCGTAACCATTTTTTAGCGAGTAGCGGGTTGCTTCATTTGCTGTACAAATCGGACCACGTCGGTCGGACTGTAATGAAAGAGCCGTTGCCAGTATTGAGGAGCAATAGAGATTGGGTTTCTGATTGGGAAGAGTTTTGAGCCAAGCGTCTGGTGGGCCTTAAATGTAGTCTAATAAACACCATTCTAAACGGGTCTTCATTCAACCAGCATTTTAATCGTCTTGAAATACCTACTTGAAGACCTTGTAGAGCACGGTACCTGTGAACAACTGCTTAGCAATGTTATCTTGATTGTTGACCTGGAAAGTATCCTAAAAAAAACAGAGGTTGCCGTACCGAGATATCATTCCTGTGGAACCTGAAGGCAAAAACCATGAGAATGTTCCAACCATGACCACTCTGATTCTGTAACATCAGCCTTGCCATTACTCGTTATAGCTATACTTCCAGTCAAAGCGGCCAGGCTCAAACAGCGCAGCACAAGAACACAACACAGCCTAGGAAGCAAGTCAGCAACATGTAATGAACTTATTTCCAGAGTGTTTTACGACCTTGTAACAGACTTGAACCTCCTCCACTGCCCATCCGCCGCTCGGTAGTAAGCACCGCTGGCCTTCCCTCCGCTCCCTCCACTGCCCCCCGTGCTGCCAGGACTGTGAGGCGAGCTAATGACACCAGGCAGCAGCTCCTTGCCTGGAGGAGAAGCCACGACAGCAGGAGCTGCCGTGCACGTGCTTGGTTTGCTTGGTTTACTCGGTGAGCCGGTGCTGCGATTGCCCATTTCAACTGAAGCACTCATGCCCTGCGCCTCTGTGGAGTTACTGGCAGTGCCGGCAAGGTCTTGAAAGCCCTTGAGAACTGAGGATGCTGCTGGCTGGCCTGCTGCTCGCGCTGCTGTTGGTTGTCCTGCTGCTAGCTCTGCTGCCACCGTCCTAGCTCCTGCCCAGCCCATTCGACCACTATTCACATCACTATTACCATCACAGCCACCATCGTAACCATCGTCACCGTCGGCATGGCAAGCAGCATCGTCACTGCCACTGCCAGAGCTGTTCCTCTGTGCTGCCACACCCTGCTGCACGCCCACCCTGCCATGGCGACGCGCAAGTGCTTCCTCCACTTCATGCCATCCATTGCTCATCATGCCACCTGTCGTGGCACCACCTGTCATCACGCCATTCGCCATCCCACCGTGTGCAACTGGGCCCTCCAGCATCCCACACTTGGCAGCCAAGCCATTGGGTGCGAACCTGCTTGATGGCACTGCCTGCACCGTGACCCCATGCCCATCCCTGTCCCTGCCCTCCTGCTCCCTGCCCTCCTGCTCCCTGCCCTCCTGCTCCCTGCCCTCCTGCTCTCTGCCCTGCTGCCCTGTGTCCTTTCCCCTGCCACCAGCCTCTGCTCGACTCCCCATTCTAGTGCGCCTCACTGGACGTCCCCCCCCTCCTAGCCATGCCACCATCCTAGCTACTGGTGCGCCATTCCTCATTCCTGCTGTTTTTTCCCTCCCTGATGCGCTCTCATGCTTCTGCCCCCAAAACCTCCCTCCTGTACTGCTCCCCTCTCCGCTCCTCACATCCCCCTCACTCCCACCCCTCCCCCTCCACCGAAGCCCCAACCCCCACATCCCACCACTCCCACTTCCGCTCCCACTCCCGCTCCGGTCCCCCTCACTCTTCACTCTCCCTCCAACCCCTCCTCCCCCTCCCACCCCCCCCCCTTTATCCCCACCACCTCCCTCCCTTCCCCGCCACCCACTCCTCCCCTTCCTCCCTAACACCATCTTCACGCGCAGTAGCAGCGAGTGCAGCAGCAGCAGGAGCGCCGCAAGGGATGCGAGCAGCAAGCAGCAGTTGGTTAGCACGGTGTTGGCGTGAACAGCTAAGTCCCTCTGCAGCCACGCAGATATCACCCGGTGCTTGGTCGCCTCACTCAGCTCTGCCTCCACCAGATCTACCTCCCCTTGGGAGGGGGAAGGACCACTTGCAGTGGCACCAGTAGCAGCAGGGGAAGGGGAAGAAGCGGGAGGAGGGGAAGAGGAGGCGGTAGCAGAAGGAGAAGAAGCCACGGAAGCAGCAGCAGCAGAAGCAGCGCCGGATTTGAACCGGAGCTGGGCCTTGGCTAGGTGCTTGAGCGCCACGGCAAAGGCGGAGGCTCGGAAGCCAAAGAAAAGGCTCGGGCCGGGCCTGAGGCACTTGAGGGACCACCAGGACTTGGAAAGGAAGATGTTGTGATAGGTCTTGTCACACTCCTGATGAGAGGAAGGGGATGGGGATGGGTTTGGATGGGGAGGCGGAGGGAAAATACACCCAATGAGGACAGAGGCACTTGAGGGGCCACCAGGACTTGGAAAGGAAAATGTTGTGATAGGTCTTGTCACACGCCTGGGGGGAGGAAAGGGGGGGAGGGGGGGAATGGGGAGGCGGAGGAGGAAACAGACACCCAATGAGGGACGAAGGCACTTGAGGGAGCATGAAGACCAGGAGAGGAAGATGCTGTGGTAGGTCTTGTTGCACTCCCCGGGGGAGGAAGGGGAGGGGGGGGGACAGCGGAAGAGAGGGGGAGTGGGGTATGGTGCGGTGGGGTAAAGGAGGGTAGACACGGAACAAGAGAGGAGGTAGAATGAGGGTCCGAGGCACTTGAGAGACCACCAGGACTTGGCCAGACGGATGTGATGGTAGGTCTTGTCGCACTCCTGAAGAAGTGGGGGATGTGGAACAGAAACGACAACGAATCTGACATGTATGGAAGAGCATCTTCCATGTCGTCACTCTTGAAGGACCACCAAGACTTGGGAGGTGACAACCCAACCTCTCCCCATCTCCCCTTCTCTGCCCCCCCCCCGTCCCCAACTTCCCTTCCCCTTCTTCCCCCCCCCCCCCCCCCACACCTCCCTTCCCCTCCCCCTTCCCACCTTCCCCCTCTCCCCACCTCCCCCTCCCCCTCTCCCCCCTCCTCCTCCCCCCCCCCTCTCTTTTCCTCCCCCCCTTCCCCTCCCAGGACCCCTCCCCCATCCGAACCTGCATGTTCAGTTCGTCCCGAGCGTCCCTGAGAGGTTCGAAGCACAGCGCAGCCATGAGCTCCGTGTTCCGATCCACCAGCCGCTGCCGAGCCTCCTCCACCCGAGCCTGCAGCTGCGCGCGAACCTCCTCCACCGAAGCCGACGGCAGGTACGGCTGCACTGCTGCGCTGTAATTGGCCAAAATCAGTGAGGCTAGGTGACGAGCCTGGAGCGGCAAAGATGGGGGGGGTAGGGATGACGTGGGAGGGGGGGCGGGAGGGGCAGGGTTGGGGGATGGAGGAAGGGGGGGAGGAGGGGGAGGAGGGTGGAGGAGGGGGGAGGAGGGTGAGGATCGTGGGGAGAAGTGGGGAAGGGCAGCAGGGGGAAGGGTCGTGGTTGGGCTGAGAAGGTCAAGAAAATTGTTCTGATGCTGAAGGTGCCTCAAACGAAGCACACGGTGGGGTGAGCTTGGCAACTGCCAAAACTCCTCACCTTAGCGACGACAACCACTTCATTGTTATCCGGCAGCGGCTGAATCTTCCCCACCCGCTCACTATTCATCTACCCACAGCACTCCCTCTCTCGCCCCGCGTTCCCCTCCCATTGTTGGCCGTGATAGGTTTTTGGGGATTCTCAAAAACCTAATAGAACCATCGTTGGCAGGCACTCACTCATCCAACAGCCTCACGTCAGCCACAACCACCGCCTCATCGTTATCCGGCAGTGGTTGAATTGAATCTCCCCCACGCGCCTCCTATACTCCCTTACCAGCATCCTACACTCCCCTACCAGCCTCCCTGTGAGGACTACACGACTGATCACAAGAACAAACAAACCACGGTGCCAAGCAAGCACCAACCACCACCAGCTCACCAACATGGCAACAACCACCTGTGGCAAGCATTGATATGGTATCCTTACCTTAGCCACAACCACCTCATCGTTGTCCGGCAGCGGCTGAATCTCCCCCACCCGTTTCCTATACTCCCCCACGAGCCGCCCCTTCATCTCCCCACAGTATTCCCTCACTCTCGCCACATTCCCCTCCCCCACCTCCCGCACGCGCTGCTTCCCCCACTGAATCGCCTGGAAGAGGAAGAAGTCAAACTTGTCGTGCCCAGGTACCACCCACCCCAGTCCGCCCTGCGAGACCGAAAGGGAAAACGCCTCCTGGGCGAGAAGGGAGGCGTTGGAGTGCAGGGCGAGGAGCCAGCGAGGGGGAGGAGGGGGCGTGGAGGGTGGGAGGAGGGCAAAGAGGGCTTCTGAGAAGAGATGGGGGTCGTCTGTTGCGGAGGGGAAGGTGTTAGGCCCGCTCTTGCCTGCCGTGGCAGCAGCACCAGCCCCACTGTTACCAGCACCACCAGCAGCACCATTACCAGCGCCATTAGCAGCACCAGTAGGAGCATCAGCAGAATCGTCAGCACCAGGAGCGTTGGAATTAGCTGCAGAAGCATGAGCATGGGCGGCAGCATAGGACAAGAACGCCGCCCGGAATGCGTCCTGGTAGGTGCGGTGGTACGCCACCCTCCCCTTGCCCAGCAGGGCGGCGATCAGGCGGTCGTTTGCTGACGTCGCAGCGGAACAGTGGCTGCTGACGTCGGCATCGAGGCGGGAGCGAACCACAGGAACCAAGGGGCTGCTGCTGTGGTTTCCCAGGCTGCTTGAGAAGCTGCAGGAAGAAGGATTGGGGGGAGGAGAGAGGGTAAGTTCATCTCATGGGGATAAAATGGGGAGAACGTTGAGCCACAGGAAGGAATGGCCTATAATGAGTGGGGGCAGCTGCTGTGGTCGCCTAGTAGACTGCCTGTGAAGCTGCAGGCGTGTGGTGATGGGAAGAATGAGGAGGGAGGAGGGAGGGGTGGAAGAAATGGGGGGAAGGAGGGTGAAGGGGGAAGAGTGGAGGAAATGCTGAAGCTGAGCCACAGGGGTCGAGGGGCTGCTGTTGTGGTCGCCTACACTGCCTATCAGGCTGAGGTGAAGGGAAGAAGAACGGGGAGGAAAGTAGGGGGGAAGAAGAGAGGGAGGGAGAGGGGGGAGTCAAGGGGGAGGAGTGGGGAAAATGTCTAACCACAGGAACCGAGGGGCTGCTGCTGTGCTCCAAGAGCCTCCTGAGAAGCTGGGGAGGCGGAAGGTGGAAAGAGTGGGAAGAGAGAAGAAGACATGCTGAGGGGCGGAAAGGAGGGCATGCTGCTGCTGCTTCGGTGGCCTAGACTGCTAGAGACGCTCAAGACATGTGTGAAGGGCAGCATGCGGACAGAAGAGTCTGTTTTTGAGGCGCCTCAAAAGAAGACACGTGTGAAGGGAAGCATGGGGAGGGAAAGGGAGGGGGGGGGAGAGGAGGAAGTGGGGGAGGAGTTGGATAGAATCTGGGAGGGAGCGGACCACAGGAACCAGAGGGCTTCTGCTGCAGCTGGCTAGGCTGCTTGAGAAGCTGAGGACGTGTGGTGACGAAGAGAATGGTGGGGGGAGGGGGAGCGGGGGGAGGGGAGGGTAAGGGGAGCGAGAGAGGCAAAGATGACTGGGAGGCAAGGATGACTGGAGGGGATTACAGATACCAAGAGGCTGCTGCTGTGGTTGCCTCGACTGCCTGTGACGCTGAGCTGAGGACGTGTGGTGAAGGGAAGCATCAGGCTGGACGAGGAAGCGGGGGGGAGGGGGGGAGCAGTGAGATAGTGTTTGAGAGCGTGCCACAGGAACCAGGTGGCTGCTGCTGTGGTCGCCTAGACTGGGGAGGTGCTCGCAATGGGGAAGCAGGGGAAGTGCGTGGCTGGGAAGCTGGGTGCATGTGGTTAAGCGAAAGGGAAGTTGGGAGGGGAGAAGTAAGGGGGTCACTGCAAACGAAAATAGAAAAACGCATGCGACGCGCAAACGACGACTAGTGAAAACTCGCTAATGTCTTGACCGACACAAAACACATCGTGATACAGCATTCAAGCACACACACAAGCACTAAATGGCAATACCATAGACTCACAAGTCATTCCATCATCCATGCCATGCATGCACACACACTACCTGTCAATGGCTCCCTGGCGAACTGCCTGGCACTGCTGCCCCAGCAGCTGCTCCCTCTGCGAGAGAGGGAGGGCGGCGACAGTGGTGTGTGTGTGCTGCTTGCTGCAAGGGGGCAAGTGACCTACCTGTCGATCGCTGTCATGCGAACTGCCTGGCACTGCTGCTCCACCACCTGCTCTCTCTGCGGGAGAGGGAGGGCGGCGAAAGCAGCATGTGCTGCTTGCTGCAGCTCGTCTGCCAGCGCTGCCAGCGCCACATGCACGTTGTGCGCGTTGGTGGACCTGGGAGAGAGGGGAGGAGGGTGGGAAAGGGAGAAAGGGAGAAAGGGAGAAAGGGAGAAAGGGAGAAAGGGAGAAAGGGAGAAAGGGAGAAAGGGAGAAAGGGAGAAAGGGAGAAAGGCCGGGACTTACTGGCTGGGACTTTAGAGTACCTTTTAGCTAGGGGGCAAAAAAGCAAGACCGAAACAAAACACGAGAGAAGCACCAAACGAAACAAAACACAAAACCACGCTACCCACGGTGCTTATACTCCATTGTTCCAGCCAGTTGATCTTAAATCACACAGTACAGGGAAATACTACACGGGAGGCAGCAAAATTACGAGCAGCGCATGCAACACGAGGAGCCAAAAAGCACTCACCTGTAGTGGGGCTTGATGTGGTCTAGCTTGGCCAGTAGCCTGACGCCACATGTCATAGCCGAGCGGTCTTCAGGCACCCCCACACTTCGCGCCATGCAGTAGTGCTGTGCCTCTTGCTCTGGTGTGAGAGAGGGGGGAAGGAGAGGAGAGGAGGGAAGAGGGACGGACGGAAGGATGGAACACACGGGAGGGAGGGATGAAGATTCAAGGACACCCCCCCCAACACAGCGAGCCGTGAAGTCGTGCCATGCCTCTTGGACTGCTGTGAGGCGGCTCTGGTTAGGCAGGTGGAATGCGAGGAAGGAAGCAAGTGAGGGAGTGGGAGGATCCGCAGTGAAAGCGGCTGACAGAAGTAGAGAGCGCAGGCAGGCAGAGGGGTGACAAGGCTAAAGCAGTAGACTCGACGACAGAGCAGGGGAAGAGTGGAAGAGCGAGGGGAAGAGCGAGGCGAGGGGAAGGAAGATTAAGCGAGCAGACCTGCCTTGGACAGGACTTGCTCCATCTGGTCCGCTGTGAAAGCTGCTGACAGCAGAAGAGATGCCCGGGATGGCGAGGCTAGACCAGCAGCTTTCCTTCCGCCAACTCCTTCTGCTGTGCCCGCTGCAAGGCCAGCGCCAAAAGCTGCACCAGAGTCCCCTCTTCCTTCACTTCCTTCACTTCCTTCACTTCCGCCAGCCTCTTCTCTCCCAACAGTTCTCCCATCGCCCGCCCACCTAGCAGCCGCAGCTCCTCCACTCCCACCAGCACCAGCAGCGGTAGGAGCAGCAGCAGCAGCAGCGCGGGTAGCTCTAGTGAATCTGTCGAGGGCGGCATCGGCATGCAGACGAAAGAAGTGGACGGCGGAGGCGAATGCACCGTCCAGCAGCAGGTCCAGCATGACTTGTTGTATGTGGCGCTCGGCGTTTAGGGGGAAGTCACTGTTCACGAAGTGCACCAGTAGGGGAAGTAGGCGAGCTGTGAGGGGAAGGAGTGTGGGGTAGAAAACGGAAAAGGGCGAGGAGGAAGGGATCGGACAAGAGTAAGAGGTCCATGACTTGCCTGCAATGCGTGGCATTGAGAAAAGTCACTGTTCACGAAGTGATGCTGTTGAGGCGCCTCAAAAGCAGAAAAGTCACTGTTCACGAAGTGAACCAGCAGGGACAGTAGGCAAGCCGGGGGGAATGGGTGGAATGTGCAAAAAGAGAGGGGGGGCGGGGGGGTTAAGGCTTGTATGCAACACTTGGCGTTTAGAGGGAAGTGGCTTCATGAAGTGAACGAACAGGGGCAGGCGAGCTGTGAGGAAAGCGTGGAATGTGCAAGCAGCGAGGGGGGCCGGGGTCAAGGCTTGTTGTATGTGGCGTGCCCAGTGGTGAGTTGGAAGTCAGTGTTCACGAGGTGAGTGAGCAGGGGGTGAAGACGAGCTGGAGGAGGATGGTCGAGTGCGGAAAGAGGGACATGGGGCGAGGCGGCAGGGAGGGGGGAGAGGGGAGGGGGTAAGTGCGGTGGGCAACAACGGGTGGGTGGAGAGCAGGGGGAGGACAGGGGCAGGGCAGAGGGGGATGGGGGACCGGGGTAGGGCAGAGAGGGGGGGGGAACAGGGGTAGGGCAGAGAGAGGGACGGGGCCAGGGCAGGGGGAGCGGAATGGAGAGGGGAAAGGAGTGAAGTGGTGCAGATCCAGGTGCTGCATGTGGCACTCCGCGCTACGCCTAAGCCCGAAACCCCTCACCTGCAATCTCCCCCGCAGCTCACCTACAACTCCCTTTCAAATCTCACCTCACCTACAATCCCATTTCCAAGTTCTAACCTCTCCTACCATCTTTCCCTCGAAGCTCACTCACCTACAATCGCCCCTGTGAACTTATGTGGAGCCGTCCCCTTGGCCTCCAGCCCCGCAACCACCCTCTCCCGCACCGCCGCCACGTCAGCAAGGTATCCTGGGTGCAGCGCTGACATCAGCTCCACGTCAGCAGCGCCCAGCCCCGCGCCCCCAACCTCCTCCCTGAGCCTATTGATATCCGTGGGCGTGCGCACCGTGAGGCAGGCTATGCCCTGCGTGAAAAGGGTGTCTAGGGACTGGTCGCCTGTGCGCGCATGTGCTGCTAGGTACCGCTGGAGGTACAGCAGTGGGGAAGCTGAGGGCGGGGAGGAGTGGGAGGTGGAGTGGGACGGGGAATGGGAGGAAGTGGAGCGAGGGGAGGTGGAGTGGGAGGAGGTGGGAGGGGAGGCGGAGGAAGAATGGTCTGGCTCCAGGTCGAGGTCGAAGCCCTGCACCACCCAGGTGAGCGGAGGGAAGGTGAGCGTCTGCAGCAGGAGGCGAGGGTCGGGCAGGTGGGACGATGCTGCAGCAGTGCCATCAGCAGCAGCGCTATCATCATCGTCAGCAGTGCCACCCGCACCATCGACCTCATCAACACCACCACCACTTCTGCTGCTGGTTCGCGGCCCCATGCCCTTCCCTGCGCCTTCTAGGGCCTGCGATGTGCTTTCTTGCCCCCCTGACGCCCCTGCTCCTCCCAGATTCCATGGTTCACCAGCATCACCAGCAGCCAGCCCCCACCCCCCGAGTGCAACCAGTTCTGGAGGTTGAAAACGTGCGCCTGTTTTGCCAGGTCCGCCAGTGCCGCCACCGACTGAGCGTCGCCTGGTGGGGGGCGAGGCGGTAGAAAGAGGTATAGATACATAGACACGCATGGCTTTTGAGTCGACTGAAAAGTCACCTTGGAGGTTGAAAGAGGTACGGATACATAGAGACGTATGGCAGATGCTGAGCACATGCGGAGAGGTTAATGGCATGCCTGCTTCACTGGGGCCGCCAGTGTTGGCACTGACTAGGGGTCGCTTGGAGAGAGGGGATGGAGAGGCAGTGAGGGAGAGAGAAACAGCAGCAGAGTATCGTGGGTGCTAGTTGCCATGACCCTCAAAACTCCTTACTTCGTGTGTGCAGGGTGCTGTAGATGAGGTGCGACGACTGCAGTGTAGCCACAGCGAACAGCTTGGCGCCATAAGTGCATGAGGCGCCCTCCCCATACAGCCCCTCCGAGTCCACCAGGTGTTGAGTGCCTGGTGTGTCCCCCATACCTCCTTACCTAGAGTGCGCAGGGTGTTGTAGATGAGGTGGGACGACAGCAGAGTAGCCACGGCGAACAGCTTGGCGTCATACGCGCGTGAGGCGCCGTCCCCATACAGCCCCTCCGAGTCCACCAGCACCACCACCGCCCCTCCAGGCGTCTGCAGTCTGTGCGGCGGCACGATGCGGATCCAGAGCCCCAGGGTCTCGGGGTCGGGGCGAGTGCCCACTGGGAAGCCGCGGGTGGAGTTGAGCAGCACGTTGAGCAGGAAGGACTTGCCTCTGGCGCGCGGGGAAGGGGGAAAGGGGGAGTGACACATGGGGGTTAATGCACTCTCTCCTCTCCAACACGTCCAGGGTCGACTGAACCACCTCATTGATCATGATAAAGAGGATGCTATATTGAATCACTAGACAACCTCAGAATCAGAACAGGCGTACCCGTGGTAAGGGCCGACAACAGCCACGAGCTTGTGAATTCTCTCCAACACGGCCATCATAGACCGAATCACCTCCCACCGGTTGTGAGCCATAGCGAATTCGCACCCATCAGTTGCAGAAAACTGCGTACCCATGGTAATGACCGACGACAGCCACGAAAGCCACGAGCTGGTGGACTCTCTCCAACACGGCCAGAGTCGACTAAACCACCTCCAACCGAACGTGATATGAGAACACTCTGGTGACCGTGCACCCAGTAGGATGGTCACACCCTAAGCCGGTGTACCCACGGTAAGGGCCGACGACAGCCACGAAAGCCACTGGCTGGTGGATTCTCTCCAGCACTCTAGAGACTTTGCTTGCACCCAGTAAGATAGACGCACACCCTAAGGCTCCGTACCCGTGGTAGGGGCCGACGACAGCCACGAAAGCCACGGGCTGGTGTATTCTCTCCAACACGTCCAGAGTTGACTGCACCACCTCCAACCGATCGTGATTCGCCGACGGTCGTAACAGCTGCATGGGTTTCGCCTCCTCCTCTTCGCACTCCTTCGTCGACCACTCATTCGCTCGCTCCGTGCTGCCTGATTCCACCCGCTGCCTCCCCCCCTGGCCGTCGAAACCCGTGCGCATCATTCCACCGGGATGCTCATCGCTTCTTTGCTGATCGCTTCTTTTCCGATCGCGATTGAATTCATCGCTATTATCACGACCGCTACTCTCGCGTGGCTCAGCGTGTGTTCCGTAAGCAGGTGAAAGCGCTCCATCTCTCAGCTCTGCGAACTGGCTGCTACTACTAGCGGCGGCGAAAGAGCGGAAGATCACGAAGCAGCAGAGAACTAGAAGGTAGATGCTTCGATAAGAGCGACTCGCCATGACACCCGGCATTACTATATCGCTCGGCAACAACTGGTAGGGCCTACGGACCGTCCATTAGTAGTAGTCGACGGTGAAGCGAAGTCGCTCTCCTCTATCCCAAGGCCATCCTGTGAAAATCACCACCTCGTGAATGAGACGCAATCTCGAAGGCTCTGACCATTCATTGTCGCGAACTATTTATCGTAGTTGACACTATCATGTACAGTATAAGAATTTAACACCTCAACATGTCTACTTAGGACGTTAGATTATCAGCCTAGGAAACAATCCATCAATAGATTATCAGATGACGTATATTTAAATAAAATGGGACTGAAATATGTTAAATAAACATGCTATGAACCATTGTAATTCTTATGAGGCTTTGTTTCGGAGGAATGTTATGTACCTTGGAGAAATGTTTGTTCCAGCTTCGAAACTCCTGCCAACTATTTCTCTATCGCGGATAGAACAGTGGGGGCTGCTGGGGATGCAGTGCAGCTGGTCCATAAATTTTGGTCCCAGCACTACTCTCAATTGTGCAAGCTCTGCCGTTCTCAGCAGTCGAATGGCGGTTATGACTTCTCGTGCAGTGACACTTCGGCCTTCAGGTGCCAGCTTTGGAAATGTCGAGACATTTGGGAAAAGATGGAATAATCCGTTTCTGGGGAACAAGAGCAAGAATATTCTGAAACCTGGCGAGTCGACGCGGAAGATTTTCGGGGTGAAAGTCCGGGCTGGAGCGACGAGAAATAGGGAGAGCGCGAGGAAATCCAAATCTCAGCAAGGGGAGAAGGGGAAACAGCAGCAGCGTCAGCAGGAGAAGAAGCAGCCGACGAATCAGGCGCTGACACCTCAGCAAAAGGTCGCAAACCTTATCCGATTCTCCCAAGATGAGACTCTTCTTTTCGATCCGCGCTCAGCCGATCCCACCTGCACCAATAGCAGCCATAACGACAGCAGAGATAGTAGCTTCAGCAGCAGGAGTGACAATAACGAAGCCAGCCGCGAGCCAATTAGGTGCATCTACGCGTTCCCGAACGAGTACACCGTCGGAATCTGCTCCCTCGGGTACCAACTGGTGTGGGCTTACCTCTCCTCCCGTCCGTCCGTCCACGTCACCCGCATGTTCACGGACGCTCACGATCCGTTCCCTAGAAACCCTAATCTCCTGGGGTTCTCCTTCTCCTGGGAATTGGACTACGTCAACGTGCTGAACATTCTAGAAGATCTGGGGATCCCCGTGAGATCGGAGGAGAGGTTAGAGAGTGGATCCACGTGTTTTGTGTTCGGAGGGGGGGCGGTGCTCTCGGCCAATCCGGAGCCGTTTGCGGATTTCTTTGATGTGATTCTGATGGGCGATGGGGAGGAGCTGCTGGGAAGCTTCATGGATGCTTTCGAGGCGTGTGTGTCGGGGGGAGGGGGGGAGGGAGGGAGTGATAGCAGCAGCAGCAGCAGCAGCGGAAGCAGCAGGCGGTTGGAGATACTCTCTGCTCTTGCTCAGGTGAGCGTGTGCGAGACTTGTGTCTGTCCATGGCAATTCAGGTCCGTAACCCCCCCCCAAACCCCATCCCTCCTCCCCCCCACATCACCGTCATGTGCCATTGCTCTGAAGTCAGCGCCCTATCCGCCCCTCCCTCCACTATCCTCCTCTGTGTGCCTTTCTTGTACCCACACACCCCCCGCCCCCCCCCTCCCCCCCTCTCCCTGCAACCAATCAGGTGCCAGGGGTGTACGTGCCTCTGCTGTACCGAGTAGAGTACCACAGCCCCACAGGGCCCATTGCTAACGTGTCGCTCGTGCAGCTGCCAGCAGGCAGCATGCTCCCAGCAGCGCCCCCTGTGGTGGAGAGGCAGACATACCGCGGCAAGCAGCTGGCCACTTCAACGGTGGTGTCGCCGCGCATGGCATGGGAGGGCATCTACATGGTGGAGGTGAGAGGGGTGTGTCGTGTTCAGAGAGCCATGCACTTGTAATGCGCATGGCATGGGAGGGAGGGCATCTACATGTAGCATGGTGGAGGTGATGCATGGGGGGGGATGGCATGGAAAGTGATGGCATTGGGGGGGATGGCATGGCATGGGATGGCATGCACATGGCGGAGGGGAGAATGGGGTTGCTTGCTTCAATGATCTCGCTTTTGAGTGGTGCGCTTTAAAGCCTTTCCTTTGAGCTGACTGGTAAGATACACGAAAATCGTCTGTTTATTCCATCAGGTCAGTCCCGAGGTGCGTTTTTCGTCTCGTCGCCTCCGTCTCTCCCTTCCCCAGCTCACATCCCCAATGCTTCCAAACCCTAATCAGCCGGTTTGCCGTTTCTCTTGCGCAGCTGTCCAGTCCAGGAGCCTGCGGCCTCTGCCTCGCCAGCGACCCCTCTCTGCTCTTCCCTCTTTCCTTCCCATCACGCGTCCCCACTCTTCCTTCCATCCCCTCGCCTGTGTCGTCCATCCCCCCTCAGCTGCTGCTGTGCACGTGTTCCGAGGTCTGTTGCTGGTCTGTCGCTTCCGCCTCACCAGCGTCTCCTCGCCGCCCTCGCAGCTCTCGCTTTCCTTCTCACCCTCCCTTTCTCCTGTCTCATTCTCATTCTCATTCTCCTGTCTCATTCTCATCCCCCCTATCAGGTGGTGCGCAGCTGTCCCGAGGTCTGCCGCTTCTGCCTCGCCAGCTACTCTTCTCTGCCCTTCCGCCCTGCGGCCCTTGAGGACCACCTCATCCCCGCTATAGAGAGAGGCCTGCAGGTACGCCTCGTGCCCACTATAGGAGAGGTCTTATGGTGATAAACTCATGGTCTCTCTAAAGAATAAGGCTAGCAGATGACCATGGCCGCCTTGTACCCGTTATAGGCAGCAGCAGGAGCGTGGAGGCACATGCAGGCCAGCAGACCGGCGGGCATACATAGCAGCAGCATGCCTACGTGTCGGATCAAAGATCTCATTCAGTTTCGTAAATACTATTTTTGAGGCGCCTCAAAAATAGACTCTTCACACTTGCTTCTCTCAATCTCTTCCCATGGCACTCTGCTGCCTGCTCGCGTTTGATGCTTCGCTGGTGTTTCACATTCGATACGCATTTCCAACATTATGCATTCCCATCTCAGATCACACTCCCCCCAACATCCCACATTCCCAGGTGACTAACCGCATCGGCCTGCTGGGAGCGTCTGTGACGCAGCACCCCCAGTTTGATGCTCTGCTGTCGTACCTGCTGCAGCCGCACATGAAGGACATTCGACTCAGGTACCCATGCATGGTGGCTATTACCCTTGGCTATTCAGCTTCACAGTTTCACAATCTGCTGCCGTACCTGCTGCAGCCGCACATGAAGGACATTCGACTCAGGTAGGGTTGTGTTCTGCCCATAGTTGTGTGTGTTCACCTGCCCCGTATGCTGTGCTGGCTGCCGTACCTGCTGCAACAGCACGTGGCATGGAATTAAAGGTGTATGGCAGACCTTGCACACTCTCATTTGTTTTTAGTCGACTCAAAATACAACTGGCCAAGCTGTTTGCTTGCAGTGCCTTGCACACTCTCAATATTTTGAGTCGACTCAAAATACAACTGGCCAAGCTGTTTGCTTGCAGTGCCTTGCACACTCTCAATATTTTGAGTCGACTCAAAATACAACCGGCCAAGCTGTTTGCTTGCAGTGCCTTGCACACTCTCATTTTTTTTTAGTCGACTCAAAATACAACTGGCCAAGCTGTTTGCAGTGCCTTGCACACTCTCAATATTTTGAGTCGACTCAAAATACAACCGGCCAAGCTGTTTGCTTGCAGTGCCTTGCACACTCTCAATATTTTGAGTCGACTCAAAATACAACTGGCCAAGCTGTTTGCAGTGCCTTGCACACTCTCAATATTTTGAGTCGACTCAAAATACAACTGGCCAAGCTGTTCGCAGTGCCTTGCACACTCTCAATATTTTGAGTCAACTCAAAATACAACTGGCCAAACTGTTTGCAGTGCCTTGCACACTCTCAATATTTTGAGTCAACTCAAAATACAACTGCCCAAGCTGTTTGCAGTGCCTTGCACACTCTCAATATTTTGAGTCGACTTAAAATACAACTGGCCAAGCTGTTTGCAGTGCCTTGCACACTCTCAATATTTTGAGTCAACTCAAAATACAACTGCCCAAGCTGTTTGCAGTGCCTTGCACACTCTCAATATTTTGAGTCGACTCAAAATACAACTGGCCAAGCTGTTTGCAGTGCCTTGCACACTCTCAATATTTCGCCCTCCCGTCCCCGCCCTCCCGTCCCCGCCCTCCCGGCCTTGGCTCTCCTGTTGACTCACATGCCCACTTTGCATCGGTGCGCACCAACACAGCAACCGCCAAGCTCGCAGCAGCTGTGCATTTCTCTCAATTCTTTCGTCTCCCTGTTCCTTCTTCCCCCCCCCTTTTTCTCTCTTCCCCATGCCAGCATTGCCTCAGTGCGCACCAACACGGTGACCGCCAAGCTCTCAGCGGCCTTGGCGCAGTCGGGGACGCGGTCGCTCACCATTGCCGTTGAGAGCGGGTCCGAGCGACTGCGCCGAGTGGTGAACAAGAAGGTAGTGTAACCTGACAGAAGATTAAAGGTAGTGTAACCTGACAGAAGATGACAGGTAGTGTAACCTGAAAGAAGATTGCAGGTAGTGTAACCTGACAGAAGATTGCAGGTAGTGTTACTCAACAAAAGGTTGCAATGCACTCGAATGCAGCTTAAAGCCCAGGTTCCAAATTGGTCACGCAAGCACCAAACTGTGCCCAGATTGATGCTGACCGAGCTCGTGAACTACCGAAGAAGAAAAGAACCAACCACCCCTGAGAGGTAAAATCGAGGCTGGTGGATCTGGAAATCAACTTTGCAAACTGCGCCCAGTTTGATTCGTGCAGTTTTCGCCGTTGGATCAGGCATGTCAAACCCAACTCCTGCTCTCCCTAGGTTTCCAATCAACGGCTGTTTTTGTGCTTGCAATTGGGATTCCATGTGTCCCTGCGACTCAGCCGTCAGATCCGCGTTTGGCCCAACTTGAACTCCCCCAAATCAAACTGGATTCAACTTGCATACGAAACCCTGCGCGAAGTAACAAAAGCAATTTTTCGCACCCAATAACACTGTTTTTTTCCACCCGCCCAGCCCAAATTCTGCCCGTTGACTTGCGTGAGCTAATTTGGGATCTGGGCTTTAATAGAACTCAGCGCGTGTTTCAAGGATGGTGTGAACCACACAACTGAGGTTGATGGACTAGACGTGGAGGAGATCGAAGGCGTTGGGCCGAATCGCCATGGTGTTGGGTGGGGCCAAGCGTTGGCTTCAAGCCCAACTTCCATTATGGCACGGGCATGCAATGCAAGAGCCGCTTGTGAACCCCTTTCCCACTTTATAACCCTGAATTGGTTTCGTGGTTGGATTGGGCTTTGCTAACGATTCGTCCTTGCTTCGGCCCGTTGCGAAGTTAAAGGATAGCTCAAGCGGAATATCAATCACAAGAAGTAAGTTTTGCGGTTGGAATTGAACGCATGGGATAGCTGACACTCAGTTGAGGCTTATATATATGCGGTATAGATCGAGGGATACAGATTTGTGAATGTCAATTCTAGGGTCTGTACTTTCTTCCCCTCATTCGTGTCTTCTGTTTTGCCCTCCCCATTCCCCTTTCCTCTCCCCCCCCATACTGTGGGCGTCATCATCCCCTCAGCTGGATTCAGCAGACATCATCGCAGCAGGAGTGAACGCGCAGGAGGGGGGGCTGTCAGGGTTGAAGCTGTACGGCATGGTTGGGCTGCCCAGCGAGGTGAGTGTTGTTGGCTACATTTATTTATTTATTTATTTCCGTTTCATGGGGTCAGCGTTGACTCGCCTGGCTGCGTTGACACTATGTGTACTCCCCTTCTGTCCCCCCCTGCAAACCTTGGCAGACGGATGCTGACGTGGCAGCGACAGTGGGCATGATGAGGGAGCTAAGGAAGGCAGCCCCGAGGCTCAAACTCACGCTCGGATGCTCCACCTTCGTGCCCAAGGTATGGCGCACACCGTCACCGATTTCTCTCCATGAGGCGTGCACACACTCACCCGCCACGTTTTGAGGCGCCCCAAAACCATTTTCTCTCCATGAGGTGAAGCACGCACACACTCACCTCGCCATGGGGTGAGGTGCGGCCCGCTATCACTTTCGTGCTCACGGTGAGGTGAGTTGCATGCTCATTCCCGCCACATGCTAATGAAAGAGCTGATGTTTGTTATAATGACCGGTATTATAACACCCGAGAGCTAGAGGCACAAGTAAGAGCGCGGCTGCATAGGGAGTTAGGGACCATGTGCTTCCATCCGTCCTTCTCACAACACCCCCCCCACCTGGTCCATCAGGCCCACACGCCCTTCCAGTGGCAGCCGGTGCAGCCCGCAGCAGAGGGGCGACTGAGACTGCTGGAGAAAGAAATGCGGAAGGAGGGAGTGGAGTTCAGGCCGGAGAGCTACAAGTGGTCGGTGTGGCAGGTGAGAGGAAGAGGGGGCCTGCTTTGAGTGTATGGCAGCTGCTGAGACACGTGCTTGTTCTTAGGTGCCCAGACAGACACACGGGGAGGGAGGGCGTGGAGTTCCGACCGGAGAGCTACAAGTGGAGTGTGTGGCAGGTGAGGGTGGTGTCTCAAATTTGAGGCTCTCCATGTGAGGCGCCAATTTGAGGCTCTCCATGTGGCGCCAATTTGAGGCTCTCCATGTGAGGCGCCAATTTGAGGCTCTCCATGTGTTTGCATGACCTGAGAGTGCGTATGTTGACGTGCCCAATGCATGGAGGGAGGGCGTGAAGTTTCGATCAGAGAGCTACAAGTGGTCTGTATGGCAGGTAGGCTCAATTTCCTCCCTCTCTGTGGGTGATTTTTGAGTCGACTCAAAAATCAGGTAGGCTCAATTTCCTCCCTCTCTGTTGCCCTTTGGACCAGCCATACCCGCCTTCTCCCCCGCACTCCCTCGCGCCGGTCCTTGTCTTATTCTCAGGCTGTTCTCTCACGGCCCGATCGCCGGCTGTTCTCTCACGGCCCGATCGCCGGCTGTCTCACCTGCTGCAACGGGCTCAGGTCTAGGGGGTCACAGGGCCACAGGCCAGCTTCGGTCTTTACTGCACACAGCTCCTTCCCCAATCGCCCGCTTGGGCTGGGTCACAGGGCAGCGTCGGTCTCACGTAGCCCCTGCACCCCCTTCCCTTTCCATGCATCAGGCTGTTCTCTCAAGAGGCGATCGCCGGCTGTCAAGGCTGCTGCAGCGGGCACGGGAGTTTGGGGGGTCGCAGGGCAGCTTTGGGCGCGCTTTCAAGGAGATGAGGGGGCTAGTACCGCCACCTGAGTACTACGCCTTTAGACAGGTAAGCATGCAGTGCGCGCGGGATTTAGGGGGGTGACAGGACAGCCGGGGTACATGGCGGGCCGGGTTAGGCCCAACCTCGGGCTCGGGCCGGCCTTAGCCCGTTGGGGGGGACTCACGGGCTCGAGGTCGACCTCTGCCTCGTCGTCGATCCGCGCGGGTCACGGCGTGGCCTGACCCCGGCCCAAACCCGGCCCGATACTGTTCCTGTCCGAATTCCCTCTGTCCCAATGCCCTCTGCCCCAATCCTGCCTGCCCCAATGCCGCCTGTTCCAATGCTGTGCATGCAGGTGGATGAGAGTGAGGTGCTGCCATGGTCGCACCTCTCAGGCTCCCTGCCTGTGGCAGTGCTCAGGCAACACGCAGCAGAGGCGGCCACACACTTTATTTCTACAGGTTCCACTGACTCTTGACCCTGAAGGCACTCTGCCAGTGTGGTAGTGGATGCTCAGAAACAGCTCAGCGCCTGGGCCATGGCATGTGAGTGACTTTTAAGCCTGACATGACATGTGGCCAGGTTTGCACTTAACATTTATTATCCGTGTTTCTTGTACGGTGTCAGGCACAGCACCAGGCATTTGAGATATCTTGTGCACTGCACTGTCGGCTTTGTGCATGAATGGAATCAGGCCCTCAGATTCGAAAGCCTGGTAACTATGGGCCTGAATGGAATACCTACAATAGATGATCCTATTCTGCGAAAGTGAAACCGTATTGTTGCTACAGTACCAGTACAGATCTCATCATCACCAGTACCTGTCTGTCTGTCTGTCAGTCTGTCAGTCTGTCTGTCAGTCTGTCTGTCTGTCTGTCTGTCTAATTGTCAGTTTGTCAGTCAGTCTGTCTGTCAGTCAGTCTGTCAGTCTGTCAGTCTGTCTGTCTATCTGTCAGTCAGTCAGTCTGTCTGTCAGTCAGTCTGTCTGTCAGTCTGTCAGTCAGTCAGTCTGTCTGTCTGTCTAATTGTCAGTCTGTCAGTCTGTCTGTCTGTCAGTCTGTCAGTCTGTCAGTCTGTCAGTCTGTCTGTCTGTCAGTCTGTCAGTCTGTCAATCTGTCTGTCTATCTGTCAGTCTGTCTGTCTGTCAGTCTGCCAGTCTGTCAGTCTGTCTGTCTGTCTGTCAGTCTAATTGTCAGTCTGTCAGTCAGTCTGTCTGTCTGTCAGTCTGTCTGTCTATCTGTCAGCCTGTCTGTCTGTCAGTCTGTCTGTCTGTCTGTCTGTCTGTCTGTCTGTCTGTCAGTCTGTCAGTCTGTCTGTCAGTCTGTCAGTCTGTCAGTCTGTCTGTCTGTCTGTCAGTCTGTCTGTCGGTCTGTCTGTCAGTCTGTGAGAACATGGTCAGCGGCACATGCAGCAGGTAGGCAGGAACCCTACCCGGCATACACTAGCATCACTCTTTCATGGAGTACATTTTAACAAGAGGTATTCTCTTGAAGAGGAGGGCCAGCAGCGGAAGAAAGCCCTTCACCATCTCCTCCCACCACAGCGCTGATTTGCTCATCCTCCCTGCCGCTGCCAGAGCTAATCCGAACCAGAAACTGACCAATACCAGCGCGCCACATGCCACAGTCACGGACTGCTGCTGCCCCGGCAGCCACCCCCGATCCCGGCAGGTTCGGAAGAACCCCAAACCTACAGGTCCGGTGACGAAAATTGCCGTAACCAAACCGGGGTTGTAACTGAGCGAAGTGACGGCGAAGAACACGTGCGAAACGGCGTCTATCAGCGAGATCGCGACGGCGATCGCAGCGCCCAGCGGTCGTCGCGGCCCAGTCGTAATCGCCATCGTCGTCAGCAGCCACGTGTGCACGAGATTGACGATGAAAAAGAACGGAGCGTCGGCAGGGCAGAGCGCGATCTCCGCGCGGTACAATCCCAGCCGTGCGCAGACGAACGCGTGGATATGGAATCGACGGCCGAGAAGGTCGAAGCCGGTTTCCTCGAAATTGTGGAGGATGGTGGAGGCGAGGGAGAGCCAGAGCCACCAGTGCGTGTCGCGCCACTTGGGCTTGCGCAGGAGACGGACGGCGAGGTACAGGCCGAAGAACGCCATGAGAAACGGCCAGAGCGTGAAGAAATTGTCGCCCATCGTGCCGGCCAGCCGGCTTCTCTTGCGGGTCGGTCTGGCTTTACTGTCGGTCGGCCGAGCTTGTGCCCGTCAGTCGGTTTATACCGCCGGTCAGTCTCAAATGGAACGAACAACGAACGAATTGCTTCTGCTAGCGAGTCCCGATCCGATTCAGTCGCCAGTAGCGAAGGAGGACGCACCTACGAGAATTGCAATGCTGAGCTAGTTCACGACGATTTTCGCTTCAGGTCAAGTACATGCTCTTTAGGGCGTGTCCAGCGCGTTCATTTTGCCCTAACTCGCACTTTTAACGTCTACATGTTCGAACAATTGTTACGGGGAATGTAGATGTCGCGAGGCTTACCTTTCGACCGCGGAGAGCATGCTTGGCTCGGCCTTGTGTCCAGCCTTTGACACGACGAATGCTCTGCGCAGCGAAACACAAAAGTGCTTGGCGAAATACACAGAGTTACGGTATTAAGAGCCTGGAAAACGAGGCCTCGCTGTTTTTGCCATGGCATTGACGAATCTTCCTGAAAATGACGAATTCATGGCCGTGATCGGTAAGCTGTTATTCCAGAATACGGAAGACGGAATTCGGAATCCGCTGCGATCTTTCTGTATTCCGTGCGTTGACTCGCCAGGTTGGGTAGTGCGAGAAGTTGGTCAGGTTTATGGGCGAAATTGCGTGATGTAACTGACGCGTCTGAGCTGGCAAATCTCCAAAGTTGCCCGCTACGATCTGGGTCACGAAAAACAAGAGGGATTCTTGCAATTTTTTTGGTTTAGGGCCCTGCATCTGGCTGGATATCGAAATGCGACCCTGAATTTGTTTTCTTGGCGGTCAGACACATGCTGGTAGTGGGTATTCGACGTTTTCCGTTTCCGAAATAAGGGCATCCGTTATTGCGTTTGGATTGCCCCACTCTTCACTATTCCCAGCTATTCTTGCAAAAGAGCTGGAATTCACATCGACCGGCGGTTGGCACGATTTCGCCCGAGTCAGCACCTACGGTGCCCTTTCCTCATTCCGAATTCCAGCCTTCGTTATTCCCGTGATCGGTACACACCTCTATTCCAGGAGGTTTGGTGTGTTTAAAAAGATTGGTTGGCTTTAAGCCTATTCCGAGCCAGCCCAGAGAAATTGCTCGACACCATCCGTATTCCGGAATAACGGCTTACCGATCACGGCCCATGTGTTCAATTTTCGCCAGCCAGGATTTGCCATTTCTGGCGGGAGTTCATTTCGGGCACGATTTCCAGCCGCTTTCGAAACGTGCGCAACACGACTGTTGGCACGCTTCGACAGCGTCCGCTAAAACGTGCACTTTTCGAGCGGGTCCTTAAGGACACGGAATTTCGGGTTACCACACGTGTACTCTGTACTTCTCACGCCAACGGAATAGTATACGAGCACGCTGGACAGCCCTTACGCAATGCGAAACTTAGCAGAGATGTTGGTTTAGGACCGAGTTACTTCTCCCCCCGCTGGGTAGGATCAGGGAATGCAGTCAAGTACAGTAGCTTGTTGGGCGTGTGGCAAGTATGATCGGAGGTTGCCTCTGCTCCCACTGTCCAATCGTTCACCTCTGCACCTTGCACCAAATGTTTTGAAACATACAAAATCATACTACACCGTGTTGTTTGTACCTGGTCTCCAGACCCGTTCCATCATTTCGACTAGCACTTGCCACACGCTGCCCAAGAGATGGGGGGGAGCGTGGCAGGCGACGAGAAGAATCCTCTGAACGAAATGAACTGGGCGACCTGGCGAAGCGGTAACGCGATATCGAGTAGACGTAACACGCGATAAGCCTCCTTCAGTTGAGTCGACATAACTAGCAGAAGGATGATTTTTGTTTGATGTGTGTGCACGTGAGTTCGTTAGGGAAAAAAATAAAGCATGCAAGGCTAACACCGCTCCACACCCCTCCCACCACCACACACCCCTCCCACCACCACACACCCCCAATCAATCTACACACACAAAAATGAAAAGGACGGTAGTTTTCAAGCGACCAGAACATCGATTCGACTTCATTTTGCCCCCAACCTTACATATGCACCCAGCTTGTAACGAAAATTGCATCAACCATAGAAGCGGTTGTAGTTCAAATGTCGTAGAAGGTCTCGAATGGCCAATGGCAAGTTCTCGGCTTGGTTGCGAGACACCTGCATATCATATGGCGCAGAAGGGTGTGGAGATAACACCAGGTTTATAATACAGGGAACAGCAACTATCCCGGGGAAAGAGGTAAGGCTCAAGAATGGTGGCCGACATCATGTGGGAAAATTTTGTCAACAAAACACTGCAACATATTCCGCCCCACTTGGTCCTAATCCGGCCTCGCTGCCAACCAAGCCCACTGTTGCAGTCATGCTACATCACCATGTACAACCTCCAGGATGGCATACGCGTCAGCATTGCTTACCTCCAGGATAGCCGACACATCAGCATGGAAGGAGCCCCCCAGCTGGTGAATCTCCGCATTAATTGCTGCCTCCTCATCCCTTGGTCCCCCATTTCCGCCCCTTTCTCCCCTTGCTCCACCCATGCTGCTGCTGGCAGTGCGCGTGTACATGGGAGTGCTGGTGCTGGGCGCATGTGTGTAAGAGGGAGTGGTGCTGGTGCTGGCAGTGGGTGTGGTGGCAGGCGTGCTGGGAGTTGCCATGGAGGGCTGCAGCAGCAGCTTGCGCTTGGAGTGGCAGAGAGCGGCGAAGAGGAGGGCCTTGGACGCCAGGGAGGTGAGCATAGTTGTGATGGCCTTGCCCTGGAGGGTGGGGTGCGGCGGGTTGGCGAGGGTTGGGGATGGGAGGAAGAAACGATTGTGCGCTTGGAGCGGCAGAGAGCAGCGAAGAGAAGGGCCTTGGACGCAGAGACACGGGCAGGGTTGTGATGGCCTTGCCCTGATGGGTGTTGTGGGGCGGCGTGGGGTTGGGGATGGGAGAAAGGAACATGCATTCCCTTGGGGTTGCAGAGAGTGTGGAGAGGGGCCTTGGGCGCCAGGACGACGGGCATGGTTGTGATGGCCTTGCGCTGGTGGGTGGATTGGGGCAGGGTGGGTGGGTGGACAACAATGGGAAGGGAGGTAAGATGACTTCTCAAGAAAGGATATGGGAAGGGCCTTGGAGGCCAGGGCGGCGAGCATGGTTGTGATGGCCTTGCGCTAGTGGGTGAAACGGTGAGGAGCGGAAGGATGTTAATGAGAAACATGAGAGGATATGCATGGATGGGCGATCAGATGCATGGACGCATGTGGAGGGATGCATGTGGCACGCATGGGGGACGCATGTGGGACGCATGTGGCACGCATGTGGGACGCATGAGGGACGCATGTGGGACGCATGAGGGACGCATGTGGGACACATGCGGGATGCAAGAGGAGGGAGGCGGAATTGCAGCAGAGATGCCCCATCACGAGCTTTGGAGTCGATCAAACACAGGCGTTGCTGCTCTGTACTGACCATGTTGATGGAAGAAACGAGGAAGCATCTCTCGAGGATGGTGTCCAGGTAGTCGTCATGTGCTTGCTGCACTGCTGCCACTGACGCTGCTCTGCTGATGGATAGTTGCAGCTGATGCCATGCTGATGTCACAGCCTGGGAGGGAGAGCAGAGGCGAGATGAATGGAAAGGAGACATGAGCGGAAGAAAAAGGGGAAGGGAGAGGAGGAGGGGAGAGGGAAACACACGAGAAAGTCGTGGAGGGAGAGAGGAGGGAATAACAGACGAGTACTGGAGGGGCGAGGAAGGGAGGCGGGAAGAGATGATACAAAAGAAGAAGGGCTCTCAAGCTTTGGAGGGAAGATGGAGACAGGGAGCCCAAAGAGGAGGGAGACAAGCGGATGCTGTAAGAAGCTGAGCACGCCTCACGGAGCCTCAGAGAACGAGTGAGTATGATGGATGGTGCTGATACCATGACTTTGAGGCACCTCAAAGCACGCCTTACATCCTTACAAAACAAGTATGAGACGTGTAAGAAAACGGGGCTCATTGCATGTTGCGCGTCTGCTGCACCGTACGCACTTGATGAGGAAATCCCGGGAATAGGCTCGAATAGGCTTGAATAGGCTCGAATAGGCTCGAATAGGTTCGATTAGGGTCGAATAGGGTCGAATAGGGTCGAATAGGGTCGAATAGGCTCGAATAGGGTCGAATAGGGTCGAATAGGGTAGAATAGGGTCGATTAGGGTCGAATAGGGTCGAATAGGCTTGAATAGGCTCGAATAGGCTCGAGTAGGCTCGAGTAGGCTCGAATAGGCTCGAATAGGCTCGAATAGGCTCGAATAGGCTCGAATAGGCTCACATTGGACATGAGGTAAGTGTGTATGGTGGTGATGGCGTGCTGCATCTGCTGCACTATAAGCAGCTCCCGCTTTGTTGCTATCGACATGCCTCGGAACGAACGCCGGTCCTGCACAGAAAAACAGGTAGACCAGGGCGGAGAGCAGCCGAAAGGGCAGGAGATGATGCATGCACCGACCAGAACGAACATTTGGGGTGTGCAACCGACAAAACTTATGTGGGGCATGACTTATGAGAGACAGCCCCTCCCCCCCCTCCCATGTCCCAATCCATCTCACGTCTTTCCCTCCCCCCTTTCCCTTAATTCATTAACTTTAAGAGTGCAACGAGATAGCAAGCTGCAATTAACTTTCCTGGGCCATAGCCTCAGCCAACCAGGCCTCAACCCCAACCACGTGCCAATTCTAGCCAGAATAGCATGCTAGTAACCCCCCCCTTCTCCCCCCCCATCCCCCTCCTCCCTCCCCCTGTCCCCTTCCCTTCCCCTCCCCCATCGTCTCCCATACAGCTCAGCCCCAAACCCTCTCTCTCCAGCACCCTCTCACCTGCGCCATGTGAGCCTTGGCAGCAACAAGCGCAGTCTTGGCAAGGGTGAGCTTGGAAAAGAAAGCAAAGAGCTGACGGGGGGGGGGGGAGGGGGGGGAGGAGGAGGAGGAAGAGAAGGAGGGGTGGGCGAGGGGGTAGAAGAGGTGGCTTTATTGAAGCATATGAATTCAGGCGGAGGCTCTGGCAGCATGAGGAATAGTCTCGAAACAGCGAGCTTGGCTTGGAAAAGAAAGGCCTGAGAGCGGGGGGAGGGGGAGGGGGGTCTACTTTCTAGGCGCCTTCAAAAAAAAAATCAGATAGAAGTTTTGGCAGCATGGCACATAGTGTTGAAAGGGTGAGCTTGGAAAAGAAAGGCAAAGAAGTGATGGGAGGGAGAGGGGGGCTCGGTATGGGTATGGGGGGAGTACGGACAGGTTGAAGCAGAGGATGTTTAACAGAAGCATTGGCATGGCATGGCATGACATGGCATGGCATGACGAGCAGTTCTGGATGCTGAGCCACGCAAATCTGGCAGAATGTTGGCTCTGAGTCAGCCGCACGTCCACAGGGCTGAGCCACCCGCGCACCTGGTTGTACTTGGTGACTTCTGCGTCAACTCAAGTCAAGTGTCAATAGTACTGAGAAGCACACGAACCTGGTTGTACTTAGTGCATGCTGCAGGGTGCATGAGGTAATCAAGTGGCCACTCCAGCTGCCAGGCAGGCAGGCAGGCAGGATGACCAAGGGGGGGAGGGGGGGGGTGGGTTGGGGGGTGCGGGGCGGGTGAGAGGGAAGGGAGAAACGGGAGAAGGGGTGAAGGAGGTAGGCAGCGGACACATGCTGCAGGAAGCATGAGACAATCAAGTGGCCACTCCAGCTGCATGCAGGCAGGATGACAGGGGGAGGAGGAATGGACAAGGGAGAAACAGGAGAAGAGGCGAAGGAGGTAGGCAGCAGATGCATGCTGCTGGGTGCATGAGAGAATCAAGTGGCCACTCTAGCTGCATGTACCCAAGACAGGGAAGAGAGGCAGGTAAGAGGAAAGCGGAACAGGAAGGAAGAACATCGGTACGCGATCAATGGGAAGTGCAATAAGGGGTATGGCTGGGCACTTACAACAGCGAGGATGTGAGCTGAGAGAGGCTGCTCATGGCTGTCTTACACCCAACCCAGTTCTTCCTTACTAACTCAAACAGGTCTCAATCGTTGTGAACGAGTATCAAAAGTGCCAGCAATTGAATCAGCCTCCTATCCTTACCTCAGCCTTCATACGTATCCCTCCTAGCAGTTCCACCATCGCTGTTACCCGATCCTGCATTGCCGAACCTCCTCTGCTACCCGAACCTCTAGGTCTGGCCATGGAAGTCGGCGGTTCGGCGCTGGCAGAGGACATCCCAGCCCCGGCACGAGTACTAGGTCTGGAAAGTGCCGGGGGTCCAGAAGGTCTGGCGAAAGGTGCGGATGAAACCGAGGCTGTAGGTCCGATGTGGGGTACAGGTCCGGCATTGCCAGAAGGTCCGGGGACGAAAGGCTTAGCATGGGCAAAAGGAGCGGGTTGGGCAGTGGCAGCAGCAGGAGTGACATATGTGAGGGAAGGTCGGGGAAAGGGCGTGGAAGAGGAAGGGTCCAGAGGCGAAGGGGTGGTGAGCACGGATGGCGTGCTGGGGGAGGATGAGAGGAGGGGAGAGTATGAGTGTGTGGGAGTGGGGGAGTGGGAGGAGCTGCTGTGGAGAGTGACAGTGACTGTACTGAAGGGGAGAGGAGAAGCGTGGCCATCTGCCATTGTAGCGAGGCAATGCTGCAGGAAGAGGGAGGGAGGGAGGGAAGAGTAAAGCAAAGGGAAAGTGGAAATTGGGAAAACGGGAGGGGGTGGGGCATTTGAGTCAATTGTCTACGCCTCTCTAAAATTGGACAGAGGAATAGAGGCATGGCCGTCTGCCATTGTCTCACGGCAATGCTGCAGTCACTGCAGGTAGGTAGGTAGGGAGGGAGGGAGGGAGGGAGGGAAGAATGAAGGCGAGAAGGGCAGCGAAAATGGGGAGAGGGGTGGGGGTGTGAGGGGGGGTTGGGGGAAGTGTACAAAAGGGGAGAGGCGTGGCCATCTGCCGTTGTAGCGAGGCAATGCTACAGGCAGGGAGGGATGGACGAGGGAAGGCAAAAAAGATGGATGGGAAAGGGGAGGAGGAGGGTGGGTGGGATATTTGGGGATGCTAAAAACACTGGAGGGTGCGTGCAAGCCCACTTCTCCCACACCCCTCACATTCCCCCTTCCCCTCACATTCCCCCCTTCCCCTCACATTCCCCCCTTCCCCTCACATTCACCAATTGTTGCAGCGAGTCAGTGGTTTGTGCTGAGAGCAGCAGGTTGGTGCTGCAGTGAATCAGGTCACCCATGCACTTCCCCCGTCCGCAATCAAACATTCTACTCACATCCACGCTACTCACATCCATCAACCCACGCTACTCACATCCATCAACCCACGCTACTCACATCCATCAACCCACGCTACTCACAGCCATCAACCCACACTACTCACATCCATCAACCCACGCTACTCACATCCATCAACCCACGCTACTCACATCCATCAACCCACCCTACTCACCTCCATCAACCCACGCTACTCACATCCATCAACCCACGCTACTCACCTCTCCATCAACCCACGCTACTCACATCCATCACTTGCTGGAGCGAGTCGGTGCTGTGAGCTGGCAGCAGCGCGTTGGAACGCATCTGCTGCCACAGCAGCTTAACGAAGCAAGGAGTCACGGAGACTGCAGGCATGGGAAGGTGGGGGGGGGGGGGGGGGATAAGGAGTGGGAGATAAGTGGTGAGGGGGGGGATAAGTGGTGAGGGGGGGGTTAAGTGGGTGCTGGTTGCTGCATAATGGCAATGCGCTCTGCAGCAGCTTCTGCTGAGTGGGGAGAAGGATCAGCAGCTTCAGCTGCCACAGCATCAAAAGGAAGCACGGAGTCACGGCTACTGCAGGCACGCGAAAGTGGTGAATTAGGGGCTACTTTCGACATCTCAATGCTGCGCCTAGTCACACGAGCCTGTGCCTAGTCACACGAGCCTGTGCCTAGTTACACGAGCCTGTGCCTAGTCACACAAGAAGGGGGGAAGCCTGATTTTGAGGCACCTAAAAAAACTCACGAGCCTGTAAATACGACAGACAAGCTTGTCAGAGCTCTCGTCTTCAGCCGACCAAGAACAGCTCAAAGACAGCACGACAAGAAGGGGGGGAGTGAGGAGGCGGTCAGTGAGTTACCTCCATCGATGAAAAAGAGGTCCCTCAGAGCCTCGAGCGTCTCCATGATGCCACAGTGCGTCTTGAGGCAGCGCACCGTGTCTGCTGCCACTAGACTCGCCTGAAGTGTGTCAGTGTGTTGGGGGGGAAGTAATTCACAGCGATTCTTGAGGTGGGAACCTTGTCTGCTGCCAATGGAGTAGCCAGCAGCAGCACAAACAAGATGGGAGGGACAGGGTGGCAGATGAGTAGCCTGGTCACTAGCTGGTGGGGGGAAGGGGGGGGGAGCAAGATAGATTGGTGGGAGAGCTGAACATTAGCTCTTCCATAAACGTGGACCACACTACGCGACAGCTTCTGTTGGTAGCTCAATGCAATGGAACATGGCTACACCTACACTCTCGGCCAATTGTGGTTGGGTTGCGAAGCACTGTTTGGGGAAACCAAAGAGTGGTTGGGAGACCCATCAACCACCAATGTGCCACTCGTGTGCTCCCAACAGCAGGTGTGGACTTGGTGCTCCGGGGCTCCAATCACTTGGGGGGTTGAATCAACACCCCACGCAAATAACGTGTACACCACAGTTTGGTGTGCACATAGCTGCATACTAGGCTAGCATGATCAAAATAATGTATTGTGACAGAATGCCTCACCCAGCGTTGAATGCCTCACCCAGTGCGGAATGCCTCACCCACTGCGGAATGCCTCACCCAGTGCGGAATGCTTCACCCACTGCGGAATGCCTCACCCGGTGCGGAATGCCTCACCCGGTGCGGAATGCCTCACCCACTGCGGAACGCCTCACCCACTGCGGAATGCCTCACCCAGTGCGGAATGCCTCACCCACTGCAGAATGCCTCACCCGGTGCGGAATGCCTCACCCACTGCGGAATGCCTCACCCACTGCGGAATGCCTCATCCAGTGCGGAATGCCTCACCCACTGCGGAATGCCTCACCTCACCCAGTGAGGAATGCCTCACCCAGTGTGGAACGCCTCACTCAGTGTTGAATGCCTCATCCAGTGTTGAATGTGCGGCTGGATCCACCGCTGCAGCTGGCGAGTGGGGTCATCCAGAACCCTCAACTTCAATGTCGCAGAGGGCGTTCCAAAGCTGTCCATACCCTTCCTTCCCCCTCCAGCCACTGATATACTCTCACCCCATGCCGAATGCTTCCCCACCCAGCGTTGGATGCCTCACCCAGCGTTGAATGGGCGGCTGGATCCACCGCTGCAGCTGGCGAGTGGGGTCGTCCAGAACCCTCAACCTCAGAGCAGCACAGCCAGCAGCAGCAGCAGCAGAGTCCGGATCATCCTCCTCCTCCTTGTCTTGAGCCCTGTCACATGCGCACTCGAGGCAGTGCATCAGCCGCATATGTGCCTCCTGTGCTGTTAGTGGCGCCTCCTGTTCCGCCCATTCCTCCTCCTCCTGCGACTCCTCCTTCCCCTGCTGACCCGCCTCCTCTGTCACTCGGCCCAGTCGCACCTGCTCCTCCAGCTTCACACCGACACAGGAATGGGAATGGAGGGTTGAGATGCATGCATGGGAGCAGGGGAGTGGGGCACGGGTTCATTTGCTCACTCGAGGGTGAAATGCCACGAGTGGGTAGTCCGCTCCATTTCTGTTTTTTCCAGGACGAAGACAACGGGCGCAAGAGGGTATTTGAGTCGATTCAAAACTTGACACAAGCCAGCGGTCGAAAGCGAGGTGCGTTGGCGCGGAGAGAAGTCGTGAGGAGCAAATGGGTGTGAGGAGAGGATATGGAACGATTGGGACCGGGAGAAGCAACTGCATGGAGCATGGAGCAACTGCATGGAGCATGGAACAGCTGATTAGATGCGGGGGTTATTTACCCTAAACAGGCCAAACTGGGCTTATCCCCATATCCGGCTCACCAGCTCCAGCCAATCCGGTGTGTCGTCCACACAATCCCTCCACAACCAATATGAAGCCTCGAATCCCGTTGTCTCGAATCCCGTTGTCTTGCATCCCCATGACCCATATTCCCTTGTTGCTGCACCGTCATCCACGCTGTCGCATGGCATTGCCTCTTCCACCCGATCGATGCCGGATGCTGACGCTGATGCTGATGGCGGTGACACAGACGATGGTGATGGTGATAATGGTGATGCTAGGGATGCCGAAGAGGGTGATGAGGGCAATGATGATGGCAATAAATGTTCAGCAGGGGCCTGCTGCAGCCATTTGTAGAGTGCGCAGTACACCTGCACTGAGATGAGCCTAGTGGCTGCTGGCGAGTCAAGGCACGTCGACACACCCTTGCCCTTCTCGCAAACTGCCTGCACACCATCCCCACCACTCTTCCCCGCTCCCCTCCCCTTCCCCTCCTTCCTCTCGCCCCCCTTCTTTCCTACCCTCCTCTCCCTCGACTGCATCCGCCTCAAGAATTGCACGCCTTGTTCTGCTGCCTCTATATCTCCCAATACCGGGGCAAGACACTCCGGCCAGCGAGAGTGGGGACGGGTGGGAGGGGTAGTGGTAGGTGTGCCGGCCCAACCCACGGTGGTACTCATGGCAGTAGTGGCGGGGGTGCTAAGCGGTGGCATGGGGCTGGCGAGAATCGGTGATGGTTCGTGCTTGTCTCCTTGTGGAAGAAACTGTGGAAGGAGCAAGAAGAAACAAACACCCCCGTGCACGCACATGTCACACACAGTGGAAGGGCAGGGAGGCAGATTTCAATACATGGGTAGTGATGACCGAAAACAAAGGAGCACAGGAGAGTAGGGAGCGTTGAAGATGGCACTGTATGTATATGCTGAGCAAAGGAGCACCGACTGACTGACTGACTGACTGACTGACTGACTGACTGACTGACTGACTGACTGGCTGGCTGGCTGGCTGGCTGGCTGGCTGACTGACTGACTGACTGACTGACTGACTGACTGACTGACTGACTGACTGACTGACTGACTGACTGACTGACTGACTGACTGACTGACTGACTGACTGACTGACTGACTGACTGGGTGGAATTCCATTGCAAGATACAGCATTCGTGGCAGGGTATGGCAGCAGAGAAAAGGCTCCTCCAACATTCCGATGCGATTTGTACCCTGCAACAGTTGTGTTTGTGGTATGTTCTGACGTGGGGAAGGAATGCCCCCCCCTTCAGCACCTATAAGTCAGGAGCCAACTGTGGCTGCGGCAGCTGCCCCGCTCATCACCCACCCAATCGTCCACAAAACCAGCGAGTAACTACAGACGATACAGCAGCCCCACCGTGCAATAACTCACCTCCTGTGATAGCTGCGCTTGGCGCCGCCCCTTGAGCGCCCAGTCGTCTATGAAACAGAGCAGTGTGTGCACCGAGGAGAGGAGCAGGCACAGCACCGGGAAGTGGGCATGCTGGCGTGTGGGGGGGGATAAAAGGGAGGACGGGGAGGGAAGAGCATTGTGCAGTCAGTGATGAGAGCAGTTGTCCCTCGCTGCCCCCTGAGCGCCTAGGCGTCAATGAAGCGATGGGAGGAGCGTTTGCAGCGATGGGAGGAGCGTTTGCAGCGATGGGAGGAGCGTTTGCAGCGATGGGAGGAGCTTTTGCAGCGACGGGAGGAGCGTTTGCAGCGACAGGAGGAGCGTTTGCAGCGACGGGAGGAGCGTTTGCAGCGATGGGAGGAGTGTTTGCAGCGATGGGAGGAGCAGGCAATGTTTTTTTGAATTCTAAAACAAGCAGAGTAGAGTAGCAGCACATGCAGCAACAGGAGCAGCTGACAAAGCAGCATGAGGTGGGCATGCTGGTGTCTAAGTTGGAAAAAACGCTAGGCGTAGGGATGCCTAAAGCGTTTATACTCAACAAAATACGATACTCTGCGTATTGGGTTGGGATTCGCAAAAATATGCCCTGGCAGCCCGGGGAAAGAAATCCGAAAATGCTTCGCAAAATCTCATGAATTGACGAGGCGTTACAGTCTCGCTCAGATTCGCGAGCAGCCCCTTCAAAATTGAGGTTCGAAATTCGAAATTCCACTCACCCCCAACCACTTTTTGCCCCCCAACCGTACTCAACATCACTACACCTCTTAGCCCCAAATCATCCTGTTTGCACGACAGACTCAACTCATCTGCGCCAAATGTGAGTGGTATATCTTCCCTCGCCATTCTGTTTGACAATCATTCGCATGTCTGACTCTAAAAGCTCTTTCCTTGCCACCGCCATTAGCCAGTAGCTATGTCTACGTCAGCTTCCCCAGCCAACACTTCGTACATTTTTTTGCCCCCTGCCCGAAACGTTTTCACCCTGCCCGGCCCAACGTATTTGAGCGTACAACCACCCCTTTGACGGAGCGTACAGCGTATGTACCCTAGCGTTAAAACGCTAGAGTACAATACTCGATGCGCGTATTTTCCAACTTAGGCTGGTGTGTGTGGGGAGGAGAAAGGAGGGAGGAGGGAGAGAGAAGAGTAGTACGGGGGATGATCTCGACAAGGCTAGACGGGTGGAGAGCCGTCTCATAGCAGTGCGTGATAGGCCCTGGTGAAGCATGCGATGCGGAGAGGAGGCCACATTATGCCCTCTGACACTGTTGTCCACCTCCCAGTACAACGTGTACACTATCTGGCACTGCTCATCACCTGTCACTGTTCATTGTCTACCACAATCCAGCACTCACAGTGTTGGCCTCACACACGTAGAGCTCTGCAGGCACGCCAACAGCACACCCACAGGCTGTGACATCCCTGCATACCAGCTGCTACTGTTTAGCGCTTCACACTGCGCGTCACTTGCTGTCACTGTTCACCATCTGACACTGTTCACCATCTGACACTGCTCACCATCTGACACTGCTCACCATCTGACACTGTTCACCATCTGACACTGCTCACCATCTGACACTGTTCACCATCTGACACTGTTCACCATCTGACACTGCTCACCATCTGACACTGTTCACCATCTGACACTGTTCACCATCTGACACTGCTCAGCGCTCACCGTGTTGGCCTCAAACGCAGTGCTCTGCAGGCACGCCATCAGCACATCCACAGTCTGTGCGTTCACCACCGCTCTCGACACCCATGCTGTCTCGGCGGCACCTGCTGCCCATTGGCCTGTCACTACGGTTGGCACTGCTCTTACTGCCGATCTATCGCCCGGAGGAAGAAGAGAGGTGGTGGTAGGAAGCAAGCAGGCTGCAATGGTGTGAAGGGCGGTGAGAGAGCTGATTGCACTGGGGGTGGGAGGGTGGAGGGGGGGGGGAAGGAGAGTGAGCAGAATTTGAGGCCCCTTTAAACCAAGCGATGGTGTGAAGGGCGGTGAGAGAGCTGGGGTGGGAGGGGGAATGGTGGGGGGGGAGGAGCGTGGGCCAACCGAACATAAGGACCCCAAAACCAAGTGATGGTATGAAGGGCGCTGATTGAACTGATGGCACTGGGAGTGAGAGCGAGGAAGGAGTGATGGAGAGGAGACGGAAGGGGAGGTTGCTGCGGCTTTATCATTTGGAGCAAGAAGAGAGGTGGTGGCAAAGCAAGCTGGCTGCGACGGTGTGAAGCGCGTTGACAGAGCTGATCGCTCTGGGGGTGGAGGAAAGAGGCATCGACTGTGTGAGTGGGGTGAGGAAGAAGGGAGAAAGGGTGGGGGGAGGTTGGGAGGGATGGGGGGACAACGAAGGTGGTGGATGAACTTGAACTAGTATGATCGCACAGGGACTCACAGACCAGCCAAGCAACGGGCGTTGCGACTCAGATGAATAAATGGTGAGAGGCACAGATGTGTCGTGAAGGGGATCGATTGGATGGTCTGCTGACTGCCGTCCTGTACAGCACGGGGGTGATTGTCGTGAACGCATTTCACTGATGTGAGAGTAAGTGTACTGACTGCACTATGTTTGATGTGAAGGCGTCACTCACTCTCGTCCGCGTTTGAAGGTGGGTCGCTTGTAGAGGTCCATAGGCTCCAGACCCCTGCTGGAGTACACTCCGAGGTCCTCTTTCAAAGACTAACCAGAACAGAATATCACACCATGCCATCCCATGCCATCCCATGCCATCCACTCCTATGCCGTGCCACGAAATGCCATGCAATAATGATGTCATGTCATACGGAGCAAATAAAACGCCGGGCCGTTCCATATAAGGACATTCGAAGGGAAACCAGCGGAGGAAAGTCGATCGACAAGCGAAAACCAGAAAGGGGAGGACTACCTCTGTTACTGCCTGTGATAATAATCGTGTTTTGAGATGTCTCGAAACACGATTATTATCATAAGGAGGACTGCTGCTTCATGTAGCTGAATTTCTGCTACTACTACCAGAATCGCGTAACCAGGAAGGAGAATACAAGCGAGCGGAACCAAAATTTCGTTTACGTGGAGTTTCCTGTCCATGTCGAAAGCAAGGTCTCGAATTGCCACGGGCGGATTCGGCTGCGACTTCACGCGCGAAACGAACGACTCAACCTCGCTCAGCTTCGCCGTGACCGAAGCTGTGAGCTCTGGCGAAACAAGGCGGAGTGCACCGCCGCCGCTATCGGCGACGGTGTCGCGGTGACGAGCCATGAACGCGTTTGGCAGGCGAAGTAACAGCTGGAAAGAAAATCACCTAGGCGGAGACATGCTTCTAAGCAGGGAGCGCGGCTTTGATCATCAGAAATCATCGGAAGTATCCCTCGTATTATTTTCACCTGAAATGGATCAAATAGATCCAGCTACAATACCCTAAGCCTTATGCATACGTTAGGAGACTCCTAATGCAATCAAGAACCTTAATCAATGGGTAGAGGGCAATGGGTTGAGAGAAATCTGTGCCACATGCAATTCAGAGTTTTTAAAAGCGTCTTATATCGATCGATAGTCCAACCTTTTCTCGACTAATTCGATCCTATAACACAGCATGTCCGATCGCACGAGGGACGATCAATGTTCAACCGGAACTTCGAATTTACATAAAGAAATATTTCACGCGACGTGCATAGAAATGGCAGCCGCCTGTCATGTCCAGCGAGACTTGATCTCCACTCTAGTTTTGAGGTTATAATCACATCGCCTTTATTGTCATGCCTTTGTATGGTCGATCTGCCGTCTCCGCTCCAGATTTTCTCTCTTGAACTTCTACATTCGTAAAGTACACTTCCATTGCTCCCTTCCCCTTTCCCCTTCATCGCTAACACATGCAACATGGCCAACATGTACTTTTGAGTTGACTCAAAGCAGTCCCCCAAACTACTGTTTGCATGGTGTGATTTATTCACAATCAAAAGTCACCTCCCGCCCACTTTGAGGCAGCACCACATGATGCCATCACTGCGTGGTGTAAAATTTCAAACTTTCTCAGACGCCCTGATATCCACAGCGCCAGCCCTCCACGTGTCCCTTGTGTGCCCTCCATGTGCCCCCCCCACATGCCCCCCTTGTGCCCACTATGTGCTCCCCATCTTCCCCCCATGTGCCCCATTTGCCCCCCATATGCCCCCCCCCCTCCCCCAACTGTTAGAATAGCAGAATAATTGAAATGAGAAGTACAAAGTGGTTTTTACCTAGTGAGTTGTACTCTCTATGACATGCCCCTATCCAGGCTATAGAAACATATACAAATATGTTTGACACACCCCCTAGCCTGGACACGGGGCAATGCCGGGCAAGAGACACGAAACTCAGGGCGGCACAACTAGTTCAACCACTGAGACAAGGGTCCGAAGACCAGTCAGCAAGAGTATAAACTCAACAAGAGCAAACCAGGATGGCACTACTAGTCCAGCCACTGTAAGAAAAGCCACAAGGTCAGTCAAGAAGGAATATGTAAAGAGTAGTACACAATCAAGGTCCTAGCAGGTGGGTAGCTACAGGAACTAGACCAAGCTGCAAACCGTGTCGCTGATGATCTTTAGGCGCAAGTGCCTTAGTAAAGATATCAGCTGTGTTGGCAACGGAGGCCAAATGTACAACGCGTGACTGGCAACGCTGCTGTAGCTCGCGCAGGAGGAAGTACTGCAGCTGGATATGCTTCGCTCTGCCCTCTAGTCGAGGCTCCTAACACAGGAGGATCATGGCCTTGTTGTCAGCGAACAAAACCGGGGCAAAGCTAGGCTTCTCACGTAAGTCGCTGAGCAAAAAGGTCAGCCAGCGGAGCTCTTGTGCCGCCATGGCACCGGCGTAGATCTCAGCCTCACAACTAGACTAGGCAACAGACGAGGAGCGAGTGGACCTCCACGAGATCGCACCCGAACCAAGGCTAAAGCACTAGCCCTAGGACGATCTGAGGGTCTCAGCATCGTTTGCCCAAGAAGCGTTTGTGTGCCCAGTAAGGACCACTAGCCTGCAGCCTCCTACCACTAGCCCCATGCCCGATGTACTTGCTAGATAACGCAAAACCCGTTTGGCTGCCGACTAGTGCTGTGGTCGGTGTCTGCTTGGCGCCACAAAGCGAGCCAGGATGCTGAGAGGGTATGCGAGATCTGGACGAATGCAACCCACCTGCTCGGCGTAAAGACCACTAGGCTCTACTGACTCCTCAGGAACTAGAGGTGAGAGCCGGTGATCTACTAACAGAGGTGTGAGCTGTGCGAAGGAGAATTGAAGACCGAACCTCTCAAGGACTTGGCACACCAAGTGTGATTGAGTGAGAGTTGTGGTGCGCGCTGCTCTCTCCCTGGAGATCTGCAGGCCAAGGTAGCGGCGCAACTCTCCTAGGTCAGTGCAGGTGTGTCTCTTCTGCAGCTCGGCCTTAACAGAGGCCAGTGCGTCTCTATCAGCAGTAGCGAAGACCGAGTCGTCTATGTAGACAAGGATGTAGAACAGAGTCTGGCCAGTACGAACGAAGAGCGAGGGGGCTGCAGAAGACGGAAATAACTGCAAGTCAGCTAACGTAGCACGCAGCGTGTCGTGCCACTCACGAGGCGCCTGTCGCAGGTCGTAGACCGGGCACCGGAGGAGCCACTGTGTCCAAGGAGGTAAGGTATTAGTGAAGCCCTGCTGACGGTGCAGGTAGACTTGCTCGTGTAGGCTGCCCTGAAGAAAGGCTGTGGAGAAGGTGAGGGAGTGGAGCTCGTAGTCACGCTGAGCTGCGACGTGTAGCAGCGCCCGAAGAGTAGTCATCTTAGCGAAGGTCTGAAAGAAGTCCACCCCCTCACGCTGATTGAAACCACTAGCCACATAGCACACCCTAAACACAGGCAGCTCTCCAGGAGGGCGCTTCACCTTGAAGAGCCACCGACCATCGAATACGTTCACCCAAGGTGGGGGAACTGCGTCGACGTACGTGCCAGTGGATCTCCAAGATGCCATCTCCTGCTCCATGGCAGCTGTATCTACTGAGAGGCCCAGGGTCCCGAAGAGGCCTCAGCGTAGGTGCTAGGGGTCGGGATGTCAAGGGCATCTGGGTCACCTTCAGGGACTAGCAGCATGGAACGAAGATGGGGAGCAGCCTTAGACAGGAAAGCAAGCTCGTTCTGCCTGTCCTCTAGGACGTGGCTGCCAAGGGCAGTAGCACCCCCGACGGACAGAGGACAGACAGGGTCAAAGACCAGAGCGGTGGCGGGTAGAGGCAAAGTCAGTGACAGCAGCGACAAGAGCGTCAAGACTCGAGACAAGAACAGACGGGTCGGTAACGAGAGCGGCAAGGACCCGAAGAACAAGAGGACGAGCGGCACGGAGGTAGTCAGACAGAGGAGGCGGATTATCAACAAGTGAGGATGGAGGAGGCGACGGGAGGAGGGGAGGACGAGACGCATGAGAACGGAGCAATGTAGGGTGGGAGCGCTGAACAGCGGAGACAAGACGAGCACGGGAGGGGCGACGAGACGAGACGTGAGAAGAAGGCATCGGGTCAGGAGACAGGGGAGGAGGCACAGGAGGAGAACGGAAGGGAAGACGAGCCGGAGACGAGTCCGGCGGAGGAAAGACAGGGCCGTAGACAGGCAGGGGAGGAGGGGGCGGGGGAAGCGCAAGCGAGCGGGAAGGGGAGGGGAGGCCGAGCAGGCGAAGGACGGACACCGGCGGCGACTGCTGCTGCGGCTGTGGCTGCTGCTACTGCTGCTTCTGTGGCTGTGGCTGCTGCTCCACACCGTCGTCTGAACCGCCACCTACACCACGACTACCTCCAAGAAGCTCCACGCCAGCAACCCCAGAACCAGCCTCCTCAGAACAAGAACCCTCTCCACCATCGGTGCCACTCTCGAGATCGCCGGGACAAGCCACGACAGTAACCCCAGGACTAGCACCCCTAAAACCAGGACCCTCTCCAGCACCTGCGCCACCCCCAGAGCCCACAAATGGCTGCTGCGGCTGCGACGGCGGCTGCGGCCGCGACGACGGCAGCGGAGGAGACACCACGCCTGAAACAAGTGGCGAGAACTGCGCTGCGGGGCCACCGGAGTCAGCCGACTCCTCAACCGGGACAACCGAGGGGAGGGGGACGACGTGAGACACACCAGACGGGGTAGGACGGGATGGAGGGGGGGCAGGGGCTACCGGAGGGGTGGGAACCAGAAACAGGGGAAGGGAGACTGGGAGACCGCAGTGGGGAAAGTGGCCAGACTCGTCAAAAGTGACGTCACGCGAGGGAAGGATACGGTGAGACGGTGAGTGGTAAAAGTGCCAATCAGACGAGTCAAGTGGAAAACCAAGAAAGACACAAGGGACAGTGCGGGCAGTGAGCATGTCCGTGCCAGAGGCACGAACGTGAGCGAGACATCCCCTGACGTGGAATGCAAACGCGTCACCAGCGAACCCGCTCCATAGAAGGGTGTGCAAACTTGCGGCTGCTGGAAGCGCGGCCACAGGTTAAGCTGGGGAACGGCGAACGGCCACAGAAAATGGGGTGCATCGGCATGGATCATGGAGGTATGAGCCACCTCCATGACCAAACCGATGCGTCGCTCAGCGACCCCATTCTGCTGCGGGGAGTCCAGTAGGTAGTACGACTGGGTGATGCCCTTCGCACGACTCACCCCCCACCCCCATCCCACCCCTAGTTGGCTCCTCGCCCTCCACTCCAATGCCTCCATTTTCGCCCAGGAGGCGTTCTCCCTCTCGGTCTCGCAGGGCGGATTGGGCGTGAGGAGGGTGAGGGAATACTGTGGGGTGATAAAGGGGCGGCTGGAGGGGGAGTATAGGAGAAGGGTGGGGGAGATTCAGCCACTGCCGGACAATGATGAGGTGGATGTGTCTATGATGAGGCTTTCTGGCAGCTGCTACATCAAAACGGAGACACTGTGCTCACTAAATGCTTCGTTTAAGTCTCCTTCAAAATCAAAACAACTTTCTTTACCATCTCAGCCAACCACGTCCTTCCCCCCCGCCCTTCCCCACTTCTCCCCAAGAATCCCCTTCCCCTCCCACACCCTCCATCCCCCCGCCCAACACCACCCTACCCCTCTTGCCCCTCCTGCCCTCCCTCCCACCTCATCCATCCTTTCCCATTCTTTGCTGCTCTAGGCTTATCACGTAGCCACTCTGATTCTGGCCAATTACTGTGCAGCAATGCAGCCGTACCTGCCGTCAGCTTTGGTGGAGGAAGTTCGGGCGCAGCTGCTGGCTTGGGTGGAGGAGGCTCAGCAATGGCTGGTGGATTGGAACACAGAGCTCATGGCTGCGCTGTTCTTTGAACCTCTCAGGGACGCT